TTTTTTATTTTCATCGATATATGTGGCAGGGTGACAGTAGCTCTTATTCTTCACTTTACCCTGGACGGGGTTTGGGTGGAAGTAGCTATATGGGAAGCAGTGGTTCCAGGTCATACTATTGAGGTACGCAGCACTGGTCCACAGCCCACACACACTCGCAACACATATTTTTATATATAACGTGATATTATCATGTTGCATTAGCTCTTATTAACGCTGCTAAAGGAGAGTCATATATTGTACTTATGGTTTTGGTTTACATGACCACCGTCTTAACCCGTAGTTTATGCCTCCTTTGACCAAACGGGGTGCTTTGATGGAATCAGAGTCACATGATCATTCTCGTTTCCCAACTTGTTGTATGTCAGAAATGGAGTTGAGGAGAGGCTGCTGTAGGATGTGGAAGGTTTCAATTTTGGAATTTTAAGATGAGATATTATTCGGACATAAGAAAGCTTCATGGTTTGAGAGACAAAGTAGAGTATTATCTTAAGGTGTTTTGATGCACAACAAACTATTTGTAGCTGTAACGGATTGGATTCTATTATTTATAAAATGCTGTAAGGGCTGTTAAGTTTCAGAACTGAGACGAGACCTTCTACCGGATGTGATGTTTTATAAAAAATGTGTTAGGGTACTTCCTGCCTATTGTTGCGTGCAAAAGTTAAGCATTTTATGTTCCGAGGAGAAAACAACAATAATGGGAAAGCCTCAAAAGTCGTATGGCATGTGGATTTTGGGTCCATATGTTGTGCTGGTTGGTGCAGTTTATAGGAGAAGCAAGCTATAAATTTCCTATACCAAAGCATAAAATGGTTGCAATCTATTCATTTTCCAATTCATGGAGGTCCACCAAGACAAATGGAAATGACTATGGATGCTCTGGAAGAATGTCAATTGACTTTCTGGTTCTTTTTCACGGTTACTCAATGGATTTACGCGCTTTTACAATTGCTCAGAAATGAATCTATTTACTGGAATAGCACTCCTTTACATTTATGGAAATGAGATGAGCATGTTGGAAGTGGAACCTTCTACATTATCTGAATCGAGACTTCTTGGTAGCATTGTTTTTCTAATTATGTGCTATAGGAAATCATAGATATCTGACTAATTAGGTGTTATTTCGAGGTCTGGCTTTCCTATGAAGTGAAAGAGACTCTACTTTCCTGAAGTCGTTGACCAAGAAAAATTTCAACAGAGTTACATTTCTGGTTGGTCTCCTTATTTCAGCACAATGTCTGTGGCTTTCTTCCGAGTTTAGGTGGCTGATGATACATGCCTTTTCTGATACAACTTTGGCATATGTTATGTCGTTGCTTGAAGTCTTGTTTGTTCTTGCCACTTATCTTGAATTGGTTTTGTTCAACTTGGCTAGGACTAATGTGCCAATATCTTTTATTCGTGGTATTTAGTGGAGAAATAAATTACTTTAAAATTAGGGAAAGTTAGTAGTCATTCTTTCAGACCTAATAACATATGGAAAGTTGGACTTTAAGCAAGCTTAAGTTGGATTTGTTTCATTCGGTCTTTTGGTCTGATCAAATGCATTGAGAAGTAATGCCATCAAGGTATTCACCTTGTAGTTCAAGTCATTAGGGGTAATGGATATGGGATCTACTCCTTCTGTTTAGTAACTGAGATGTTGTGCACTTTTTTCTTTATATCCTCTCTTTATTTTTGTTCTCTTTAAGTGGATAGTTACAAAAACCCCACCGAGCTTTGAGTTAATTACCAAAGGAGACCAACAGTTCGAGCGTTGCTCTATATTTTGGACTGACTTACATTCCTTTTACGTCTTAAATGTGTCTTTGCATTGTAGAAATTTCTATAATAACATGACTTGAAGGGGTGGGGAGTAATATAGGGGGTCTATTTTGTATTATATCTAATTATTGAGGGGTGGGGAGTTTCGAAACTTTGCTTCAGTTAGTAATTCGGGCAGGATTACATGGTTGAAGTAAGATATACAATGTAAAAAATTGTTCTCTGATGGCACGTGACTTCCAGGTTCTTTTAGGAACTCAAATAACATGTGATGCTCATTTGTTTGTGTTCAAGTGATGTTGTATGAGTGTTCACAGGGTCTGAGGTTTTTGTCAGATGGAGTTGAGGATATGTTGTTTCTCTTTTCATGTACTCCCAAGAGGATGTTTATACAGATCATTTTGTAGCCATGTTCATTTATTTTTTGTAGAGAATTATCTTGGTAGTTGTAAACATTGAAACTAGACATTCTCTACGTAGTATTCTTGACATTATTGATTGCATCCGAATGAATAAAATTCAGTACACAGTTGGCTACACAACGGTACATGCATATACCAGTTGGCTAAAAACTTGAAACCGGTGATATTAACATGTAAAAAACTTGAAACCAAGAGCACAAGCATATACCAATTGGTCCACATAGGAGATAATTAAATGAAAACACAACTAAACCGCTTATTGTACAGATTGAAACGTCTAGCAAAGCAAAAGACAGGAGCAGGTTAAAACTCAAACAACTGAAAACAATGTCAAATCAGATCGAGCTAGCAGGAATAATTCAATACATTAGAACACTCATAATGTTTTGGGTCTTTTAGAAAAAATTACATGCCATGTAGGAAATAGACAGTCTATAAAAAATGTTTCACAGTGCAATTAAAATTGGTCCTAGTCTAACTTATGTGGCACTGGAAAAAATAGAATAAGTCCACACTTGAGTCTATTTTGGACCCAAGTGTAAACTCACCTAGTCATTAATTGTTCACAATTTTCTTTCTCTTTTTAATAGGTAAAACACATTTTTTTGTATGCATTTATTATTACTATATTTTTATTGGTTTAGTAATCTAGATCTAGTACTTTTTTGTTTTGCATTGGATAGTTTTTGGATTTTTTGTTCATATATGGACTTAAGTCTATTTATTTGTCACATATGCAAAAAGAGACCCAAAGCATTGTGAGTGCTCTTAGAAAAAAGCCTCTCCTAAACCTTAATATGAAACTCGAATTACAGGTTAAAAGCACCCAAATATGAAATCTCCAGCTATAAATCCAAACAACTAAACAATTCTGATTAAGATTTAAGATACGAGCCCAATTCTAACTACAAAGGAAAGTCAGAGGATAGAGGAGAAGAGAAAGATAATGTTGCTCGGTGTTTGAGAGATAATAAATCCTATCTCATTTCCACACATAACTTTGCAAATCAATCAGGTAAAGTCTCCACTGAACTCGGTCATTGCAACGAAGGAGTAACATAAAATAAGCAATTTGCAGGGCAGCAAAGCCTCGAACACAACAAAGCCTTAGCTTGGGCGTCATATAAGGTGACTGAAAATACACATTGCGAAAAGTTCCTCATAATCAAGAAATGATCGATCAAACCTGAAATATCCCACAAAATAAACATAAAAACATTATATTCCTAAGGGGCTTCAAGTAACAACCATTAAAGAACCAATTTCTACAAGATGACCCAACTCATCATAACTCACACTCAAACAAAATGACTATCATTTTCTGGTTGGAGAAATGGTAACCCCACCTCAAAACAGATTAGGAAGAGAACAAACCATAAGACATCAAGACATACTACAACTTTTTAAATGCAACATGGGTTACAATGAGAGGCAGAACAACCTCACTGCCCATAGCACCGTACTACTTTGAAATGCAAAGGCATATAAATAGTAAAGTAAGTTCAATGGGCAATGCCAATGGCTGCCTGCAAATCAACAAATGCTTAAATATGCTGAAAAATCCAACCTTTTGAGAGTAACCAAACCAAAAAAAAAAAAAGTAACCCAAATCTCCAAGTTACATACACAATTTAGAGACTGTTTGCCTTTCTACTTGTACTTGGCAAGCAGCAACAAGAAACTCCAAGCGGCTCACTTTACCTCCAGAGGCCGATCTTCTTTTCAGCAATCGGGCATAGAATGCATCCTTTTCTGCTTCTTGTTAGCACTCGTTTCGGTAATTGCCTTTGCAAAGGCCTCGACAATCCTCTGCTGTGACTCGAGGATCATTTGGGTCCTCTTGAGCTCCATCTCCACCCTAATCTCTTCAATTTGCCTCCTCATATCCATTTTCACCTTCTCCATTCTCATAAACCCTTCTCCCAACGACTGAATTGCAGCGGCCACCTCGCTGCCACTACCAGCATCCATTTTCTTTCTCTTCACAGTCTCGCCCGCCCTTTTCCCAATTTCATTCCTTCCCAAAAACCCATCTCCGAAGACCTTGCTTGGGCCGGGCCCATATGTA